AAAAAAAAAAAAAAAAAAAAAACAAAAAAAACAAAGAAAAGACATTTAAAACAAAAAAAAATAAAAAAAAGTTTAATTGGTTTTGATACAAAAGTATACCAACAAACTTTTTTGGAACAAAAAACCCAAAAAACATAAGGAAGAGTAGATGAAAGAGAAGAATATTAAAAGTGAAGAAATAACGCCTTTGCCACCCCTCTTCCCTCTAAACTCCGCTCTCTCTCTCCCTCTGTGCCAAAAAAAAAAAAAAAAAAAAAAACCCAAAACTTTCGATTGGTAGTAAAAACTTTGTAAAGCAAGAACAAAAAATAGTTTCAAGACGAGTATTTTCTTTTGTTTTTATCTAATTCCTTAGAACACTTTTTATTTTTATTTATTGCTCTTTTTTTGCTTTCCTTCGTTTTCACAAACGATAAAAATAGACGAAAAAAAGAAAATGAGTAAAAAAAATTTCACTTTGAATCTATTTTTAAACTGACAACATCAAAGCGGTAAAACTTGGTTAAATTAAATGGGCGGAAAAAAGATTGAATACTATTTCAGTTAATGAGCTATAAACTAGGCTGTAGGTTTATTTGCTTACTCTTTTTTTTTACTAAATAATTTTAAAAGGAAAAAAGCGGAGAAAAAGAGGGAAAAAATTATATATATCCAATTTCTATTTTTTAATGCTTCATGTTCGTTTCTTTTTACTTATAATCTATTTTTTTTTTCCTTGGCCATGTCTACTTGCCATTAAGCACATAAAATTGCCAAACGCTGAAGGAAGGCACTATTCATTCATCTCTCGGTCAAATGGATTGCAAAAAAAAAAGAGAAAAAATGCTGAATTATTGCATCAGCCTTACTGCTTTTTAGTTGCAGTTCATTGTGGTTTTGACAAAGTGAAAAAAAAAAAGACTGAGGGACATAAGAAGTGGTGGGATCGACGAGGAGGAGGAGGAGGAGACGAAAGCCAAAAAAAGATTGTGAAGAGGTGGGTATTAGGATGAGAACTTGGCCTTTGCTGAGGATTTGGTGGTTCACACATCCATCCATCCAACCATTCATTCACTGCATCAACTTGCCCTGTCTGTCTGTTTTTGTTGTTGTTGTTGTTGTTGTTGGTTCATCATTATCATGGCCATCATCAACCATAGCTGGGAGTCTTATAAAACTTGTTGTTAGCCAGTGTTTTATTTATTTTACCTTTAGTCTTGTTGTTCTTCTTGATCTTCCGATTATCGTTATTCTTGTTGTTGCTTCTGATATATGCTGTTGCCTAATATGTAGTTAAAATTTGTACAAATTTAATATAACAAGGCGCCAGACAGCGGGAAAGGGGGGAGAACATTGTTGTTGCTACAAATTTTTGCACTGAAAAGAATACGAGACGATAAATAAAACTTTTATTATCCACTTTCATTTTATTTTTTGCTGTGTTGTTTTTCCTTTCTTAACTGCAACAAAATACTGTATTTTGAGCAAAAAAAAAGAGGGACAGAGAAGCTTAAAAAGAGATTAAGAAAAGGAAAGGAGAAAAAAAAGTTTTAATAACAAGAAAAAAGTTTATTTGTAGACATTATATCAATAGTTTCTATTTTTTTGTTTCCATTTTCATTTTTCATTTAGACAGTTTGTTTTTCCTCATCCTCTTTATTGGATGATTTGCAGAAATCCCATTTCCCTCTACTCATTCTGCCTCTTTACTTTGTTTGTTTTTAGATACTGTTTCGGATAGCATCAACAACGGAAACTACGACGTCAATCTGATCTCATCATCATCAGCATTACCAGCGCTGAGATTAAGCATTGATTATCACTCTCACGCTAATTTTAGGTGGTATCACTATCGTTTTTCGTCATCCGATTGACAGATTGTTTTTTTTTCGCCACTGTTTTAGTTCAGTTTGTGATTGAATTAATACAGATTTGTCAGCAGCCTCTATTCTTTTCCACCACCATCTAATGCCTACGCCTTCTTCCTTTTCATATATCCTTATTTCCTTTTTTTCCTTTCAAACACCCACCTAAACGAAACATTTGCACACATATGTGAAAATAATAAAAAAATAAAATTAATTAGTGATCACGCAATATGTTTTCAAAAAAATTGTATTTTTGTTTTATTCTTATGAATTTTTGTTTATTCATCTACTTTCTTCAATGTACTTCGCTTACGAATTAATAAAGGTATTCGTTTTTGCTGTTATCGTAATGAAAAACCA